CGAGTGATGCGTCTGAAACAGATTCGAATCCCGCAGTAAGCGTTGATGAGCAGAATAAAGGTACCAATCACTCTAAGTCGCATAAGGTCAGATAAAAGAGGAGTGGTTCACTTTTCCCGCAAGCATAATAGTAGAAGTGGGTTGACCTCGTTGTCGCGACTTAGTCTTGTTGTCAGGGCTGCCGACTACAATGCCGGCGAAACGTTTGATAAGGTACCAAGTCCACTGTCAGATGCTAGTAGACATGACGACAACTATGACAAACAACTTCGGACTAGGTGCGTTCTACATAGTCGCCCTGACAACAAGACCAAGTCGCGACAACGAGGTCAACCAACTTCTACAAATCGAAAGGAGACTGCGACCATAACAGAGGCCACAACATTTTGGTCTTCATATATTCATAATAGTAGACTTTACGTCCTCATTGCCTTTCATAAATGCTTATTTCCCAAAAGTTTTGCCTATCTGGGATAACTGAAACTAAAGCTTTGCTGGCCGTTTCGAAGCCCATTTTATGTAAATAGATGATAGGCAAAAGCTAAAGATGCATGTAGAGCCCCAGAGATGAAGGTACGTAGGCGACAAAGTACCGAGGTTGGGCGGGACACGTAATCTGATCTATGTCTGGGGTGCGGTTGGCAACAGTTGAGGAAGTTAGACAGAATCGGGACTCAGCAATGGTGACGAACTACAGTGTCTACTTGAAGATTATAGCAAGCTTTCATTACAACACGAATAGAGATAGATCCAAAATACACACACACAAACACCGGATTCAGACTCGATGAGCATAGCACGGCGTCATGTGGAATTCACATTCTTCTAAGCAGCTGTTTGGTTGACAACTTTTCATGCAAGAGTAGTAGTGAATGAGAAAAAAGTTTATTGCGTGCATAATTCCCCAGCCTCTCAGCCCTGTATGTTACCACATTTTGGGCTTTAGGCATGCCAACCTCGGTGCGTCTGTAGTGAAAGTGGTTTATTGGTAGGCAACGATGGTGGGTGGGGGTGTCTGGATTGGTGGAGAAGTCTGATCTAACAATTTGTTTGGCCGGCAGGTGGTTTCCATAGCCTATCAACCCCAACATAATGAAGCATAGCTGAACTATGCATGTACACCAGGCCGGGCTGGGGAAGCGATGTATGGATACATACATGTTCCTCTGCTCCTCCAAAGATTTAATTAAAACTTGGGCAACAGGTGTCTTGTGTAATGCCGTCTCTTTGACAGAAAATGGTATCTAGATCCTGCTGGCACACCCTGCAGTAGAACAGTACTATGGGAAATTAGGTGAAATTCTTTTTCATATACGTTGTTATTTCATTTTGGCATCTCCGTTGGCCTGCGTACTGTTCGCATGAATATGTTTCTTGATTGGGGCAAAGTAGGCATGCAACAATGCCTGGCCGGTCGAAGTGGAAAAATGAGATCAATCTCGTCAGAAGATCATAAATGACTGTTTTTGACGAGTAGTAATTGTAAATATTGTTTATTCACAATCATTTCTTTAAACTCTGATGAGTCAAACGTGGATAATGAAGATTTCATTGTGGTTGGAAGGAATTTGTGAATCGCTCGCAACGAAAACCAGAGGCGGATGGCCGGATCGTGCAAATGAGTCCGTATTGAGTTTTTGTCTGTACTGTGGCAGAAATTGTCAGAGCAACAATATACTAAAACTTTTCTTTCGGTTTGCTTTATTGTTGTATGGTTTCTGCCCGACAGTGAGACAAGGACTTCTCCGCACAATCTAACAGCCTTCCATCCACGGCAATACTCTTTCGATTTCTGGTAAGACCAATTTATGAATTCCTTTCAACTAACTTTTTTCTTCAAAATGACTCGCACATATGTCCCAGAGATAGAGATGCTGTTTGTAAGTATGCTTCGAAATTGTCGGTACCTTTGACATAACAACTTAAGTTCCCAATTGGAGTAGAGTTTCGCAACTACCAGTAAATCAGTAATATGAGATGTATTCACCCTATTTCGTCTAAGCTGATGAGGGACTGGTAGTAGAATTTTCCCACAATCATATGAGTTGAGCTGACGTTTCCATT